AGGGGTTACACATTGAGCAGCTGTTCGATCAATTATGCAGGATATTATCGGATCAACCAGTCTTTATATATATAATAATAGAATATTTACATGTTCGATATGTTTGGTGATGATATTCACATGAATTAAGAAAAATGTTTAATTGTTTTAGCAAAATATATAATATGTATATAAAAAAACTTGCAAAGAACAAACAAAAATCATTTTTTTATAACTATTGTTAACAATAAACCGCCCAACTAACTTTAATTGGGAAGGGGGTTTTTAAGTACTGCCATAAAATTTTGAGCGACCAGTGTTTGTAGATTTAGATGGTTGACGCTCCGGATCTCTGATATGAGCAGATCTAACAAGTCCTTCATATTCATTTCTGTAATCTTGATCGGTTGGAGGATGATTTGGCAAGCTTTTGAGTAAAATAAATGAAGCAAGAAGTGCAAGCACCTAAAAACATGATAAATGAAAAAATTTTTTATATTAATATCCTTCCACAAGTTAATATAATAATAACACATTCGTCCTTCGATTAACTTTTTTACCTGAACGATTGCCAAAATCAATCCTAAAATACCCAAGGCCGTTTGATTACTTCTATAAACATTAGTCAGACTAGCCAAACAAGATTGATCATAACCAAACCATGGATTTTTTTCACATGCGTCAGGCGATGATTTAGGAATTGCACGATCTGTTGTATTTCTAAATCCACAACAGAAATACTAAATGTGTATGGCATTCACACAAAAAAATTTATATATTTAATTTAAAAATTTAATTAAATCAATTGATTAGTTGCTCTTTCTTTACCTTATGTTCAATATCACGTATAAGACCTGGTTGATCTACGTACGCTTTATCCCATGCTCTATCAAGAATATTCTCCACCTAATAATTGATCAAAAGTGAACGAATTAGCAAATTAACGAAAGATGAAAAAAGCATAGAATATTGAAGGTAAATTAAATAATTACATTTCTAGCATTAGAAAACATAATGATTGCAATGCTGACTTGAGCTATTATTAGAACTGTAAGAGTTATAAAGTACTGATTTATAATAACATTAATTTAATGATCGTTAAGGAAATAACAATTTCTTTTAAAGAAAAAATTTCATCAGATTAGATAAAAAAGGATACAGCAATTAAAACTTGTTTGTGTTCAATAACAGCACCACAACATCCAATCATAGAAATCAAAAGAACAAACAATCCAAGAATAAAGGATGCAAGAGGTATTGCGTAAGAAGCAAAATGTACATCAGTTGCAATCATTCCATAAATACTTGCACCAATCAAAATTAATGCAGAAATCTGAGCGAAATAAAATAGGGAAATAATTAATCCAACTAGCAATCAAAAGAAATAAAAATCAAAAAAGGAATAATAATTAGAATACTGACAGATGATAAAGTATTTGCCAATATCACGATCGCTCTTCCTGTTTCAACTGTTACAGCCATTTTTTATGTTTTTAAATTTTAAATTTTGAATTATTGAATTATCGAATTGAATGAAAATTTTTTCAAGTATTTATAGAAAAAGTCTCAAGATGGAGAGAGCGAAAGTGGAGAGAAATAAAAATATATATTTATTCACACGTACACTAATTAATTTTTATTATTATGTCGTATTTATTTATTATTTCTGACAAAAAAATTAAAATGACGTTTGAAATTTTTGCCTTTATTAAATTATGGTCTAGCGCATTCCGTAAT